AAATAACAAATTTTAATAAACCTGCTATGCATTTCAAGACAATGCTGGTGTTCTGATGAACTTTAAGCATCCCTATACAATACACTCTATACTTAGTAACTTGCTAGTTTCCTACCCTCAACAAACGTTTCATATGGTATGTTTTTTAAAGCTTTCACTGAAACACCCAACCTTAGAAAAAAAAACAAAAACTCTAATAACCCCACAAGTATAACAATGACCTTAAGTTTAACCTTAAACAGATGTATAAATAAGGTAAACGGAGAAAAGTCTATCACTTTTAGGAGGCCTAAGTCTTTAGCCCTCCTCCTCACAGAGGGGGTTGAGGGTGAAGTTAAGGTTCTTAAACCCTAAGTGTACAGGGAAAGTCAAGAGCAATTCCTCACGTTTTCCGCATTCTGCAACCCGAGGTCGCTCAGTAGTGCGGCTAGGGCCATAAGCTACAACCTTCATCTCAGAAGACCCCAGTATTTCTTCTCGTCTCCAACCCTAACTGCTGGCACAAGAAAGGGCCGAAAGAGAGGGCCAGGCCGTGCCTCTCACACACATCAGACCTGGGGCAAGAAACCTCTTCTACCCTCAATCGAAATCGGAGCAATGGGTGTACTGCTTAATGGACTTCTTAGGAAACTCCCCAAAGACAAAGGGCTGCGAGTCGGGAACCATCCCCAAACTCGCGAGGAGGGGACTGAACGGTCCCAGGCCCGCAGCCGCGCAGCTCGCACCGGCGCAGAGACAGCGCCCGACCGCGCCGCCCACACTACCAAGTATTCGGAAACCCCACCACCCACCCCGCCAGGACTGACCCTCTCCCCAACCCGTACGCCCGCGGCCCGAGCCGCCTCACCCTGGTGATTGAACAGTCTCCATATCCTGGTGAAGAGAATTCCCATTCTCGGGCAGCGGACCCCCTCCAGCCACCCGGGCTGCCTGGCCTCCCTTGGCTCAGGCTAAAGGGTAGAGAGACGCACTGAAGCCTCCGCCTCTGCTGCTGCTGCCGTTCCCGCACTGGCCACCGGCCCGCTTCCAGGGAACCGGGGGGAGGCCAAAACCCAGGCCGCCCTGCCGTGCGCGAGGCCCCGCCGCTGCCGCCGCGGCACTCGCCTGGCTCGCGGACATCGCCGCCGGGTTGTCTGCGACGAGCCTCGCGGGCCACCGTCCTCCCCCAGCTCCTCTCGGACTGCTGCGGTGGAGGCGACCACGCGGGCGGGGGAGGTGAAGAGGCGGAGCGGGCTTGCCGAGAGTGCGCAGGCGCGCGGCCAGAGGGGCGGAGCCTGGGAATGGGCGCCAGCCTAGTCCTTGCTTATTTGTTGAACGAAGTTATCTGAAAGCTGCTGGGCTATGCCTCTGGATCCAGTCTGTGCGGGTTGCGGGCTGCGGGTTGAGTCAGAAGGCTCTGATTGCTGGCGGTTGTGTTCGCAACAGGTTTTATGTTCTCCCTGAATATCTTCCATAGAGTCATGATTCAAACATGTAATTTGTGTCTATCTCCAGTCCTACGCTCCCAAAGCCCCACGTCTTGGTCCTGGATGATTCTGTGTTCCAGAGGGCCTTTGAAGGAAACTTAAGAGCTTTCTATTTCGAATTTCTTGTCCCTGGATACCAGCTGAAATCAATGACCTTATCTTGACAGTGGGCTTCTCTTTACTCATCTCTACACCTCAGGGTTCTTTCCTCTTTCATCTCCCTCCACTCCCCTGTTTAAAAACCTTTAGTGGCCTCAAAAGCAGTCTGAGCGGAAGAGTTCAAACACTTGAGATAGATATTGTTCTCTGCAGGATGAACCCAAATATCCTTTCTGGTTATAATTCCAGGCGTTTCCTTGCTATGAAATATATGGCCAAGTATTCTCTCTGATCTTCTTTCTTGCACACTCTGAACAGCTGTGTCCCACACTATGTGAGTGTCACACTATACAAAGCCCTCTACTTTGGGATATTTAGTTGAAAACTACAATATAAGTAAATCATTAAGTAACTTGATAAATCAGAGTTCTTGTTCCACATGTTCTATGTTCCACATAGACAAGTTACTTGACATCTCTAGGGATGTGTACAAACATACACATATCTCCAGATTGATCTCAGAAGCCCTTGTTCGGTTCTGGGTCACCTGATGAGTGTGATAAGTCAGTCCTGACTCTTGTTAGAGGTAAAGGGTGGGAAAAAGAAACTGGATTGTTTGCTTCTTTTCTTTCACAAATAATCCAGAAACAGCATCATCCCTTTCTATTCTCCTTAACTTTGGCTTTAAAAACTAGAGATTGAAAAAGGTGGGAGAGTTGTAAAAGGCATTTTGCCTTCCATCTCCAAAATCCAAATGAAATTAAGCAAAATCAACAATAAATTCCACCTTTCCACCTGACTTCTAGCCAAGCACTATCTTCTCTCAATATATAGAAAAATTTCTTTTGAGTTCTTTTGGGGGCTATATTAAAAAGTCAAACTATAGAGGAGACATATGTGAAGGGGAAAAAATCTTTAGAGTAATCCACAAGTAATTTATGAATGGTTTTGTCTGAATTTAAATTTACTTAAGAAAGTACTCCATAGGCTATTTAGAAAAGCAATAGTATTTGCATAATCAACATTTCCATTATTGCACATTATAGGTAATGCCTTGGCAACTCCTGAGACATTTTACAAACTTCCACACATCTCTGTCAATTTATTAAATGCCCACATTAACCTGTGAAGCTAGTTTTTTTTTCTTTTCTTTTTTGTGGGGAAGGATAGTAGGATTGAATTTAGGGCCATTCAATCACTGTACTGCATCCCTGGCACTTTTTTGAGACAGAATGTTGCTAAGTTGCTGAGGCTGTCTTCAACCTTGTGATCCTCCTACCTCAGTCTCCAGAGTGGCTGGGATTACAGTAGTATGTCACAGTGCTTAAGTTTATCAAGAAGATAACCTTTCTGATTATTTTCTAAGTGTCTTTCAAAGTTAGAAGTAATGAATATACTTAATAAAATCTTGTCTAACTATATGCTCCATAGGTGAGATACAAATATGGAATTACTATAGATGTAATTTGGAATCTTTGGTGAGTGGTGTGAAGCTATTTGTAAAAGCAGAATCCTCTGAGACCTTTTAAAGACTAATTATAGTAATGTGTAAAATGTCATTGGAGAGATTTCTGCTGCAAGCCATGAGAGAATGGGATGATCCATATTGATCCCCTACTATTAACAAATTAAACACTTGACACAATACAGGAAACAACTGTTTTCAGATACTGGAAAACACACAGTGCTGAACTGTGACCAAAAGAGAAACAATGGGTTTTACCATTGCTTGGACTTTCTGCCTGAAAGCAATTCACAGACAGCTGCAGAGGCAGTAGAAACCCACCCCCCCAAAAGTAGGATGATCTCTTAAAGACACAGATAAACCTTCCTAGAGATCAGGGGGGCTAGAATTTGTGAAATCGAGTAACTGAAAGGAAGCTATGCAGAGAAAAACTCCAGAAACAGGCATAGGAGACCTCCACTCAACCTTTAGCATCACATCAGTCTATACTTGTGTAGTTTGGAACACCAGGAGGCTGGCCAATAACAATTTCTGCGGAAGAAAACAAGTAAGTGGGAGCTGTAAAACAAATTGTTCCCAGAGATTAGAATGAACCAGAAATCATTTGAGTTCCCTTCAGCCTGGGAGAACCCATTGATATATAGGACATTCAATAGACACCCCCAGAGACCTTAGAAGAAGAACTAAATTAGCCTAAGAAAAAATTCTCCTTTAAACCAGTTCCAAAGGAGCCCAAAAAAGGCTAAACTGTCATACAAGTTGCCTGTCAAACAAGTCCATTATTCTTAAAAGGAATACAGATCAAGTCATCAACATGTAAAATTTATAATATTGTAATATTGAAATATTATATTTCATCAATAAAAACTTACTGGACATGTAAGAAAACAGAAAGATGTAACCATAATCAAAACTCTTTAGACAGATCCAGGTATAGGGAAGTCCAGTGATTGCCCCAAACTGACAGCTGGATCTAGGCTTTGAGTCCAGGCAAGGGTTGGAGTCCACACTCTAACCACTATACTAATCTGTATGTCATATGAGAGAACAAACAAGATGTTTCTTCTGGCAGTCCATTTGCTTAGTAGAAATGTGCTGATGATGAGAGGTGGCTTCAGGCTCATGGCCATTTGATGTGAGCAACTGTAATTCCTCCATTTGGGAGTTTCAGATTGTTGGTTGAAATGTTTTGATAGTTGAGGTAGCCTTATATAATGTCTCTCCAATAACTGAGAAACTGTTCATTCAGCCAACATTTATTAGATGAGCAGCTTAAAGGCATTTAATAAATGAATTTTTAACTGAAAATACTTCAAAGAAAAAAGATACAATGAGTTTTGGTTTCTTCATTCATAGTTGTGTCTAGTAAACTACTTTCTGGGGTGGTCAGAGGGATTAAATTGATAATGTTTGTGAAATAACTTGGCTATAATAAATCACTGTATATTGATCAACAGAGTATCTATTTCTTTTGAACATCTTGAAAAATAACTTTTTTTTCTGAAAAGTTAAGTTCCAATCAATTCATAGCATAGACAAATGACCCTGAGTACATGAAATGTCAAGTAATAATCTATATACTATCCATGGAATTCTTACAAGTATGGGATAGCTTTGGAAACTTTTGAGAACTACTACATTACTCATTTAGGGGTATCTTGTGAACAAAAAGTTTCATGCAGTATATTTTTCTATATTATATTCAATTCTATTTCATGCATTTATTCTAATATAATTCTGTTTCATGTGTATTTAACTTACAAATTCTTTCCCAATAGTACTTCTTTTGTGATTCACTCATAGAACCTAGCGGAATGTTCAGGAAAACAGTCAATTAGTTGAGTTTTTTTTTGAAAGTAACTGTTTAGATTTTTAATTTTACCTATAAAAGGTATATAATTATACCCAGTGATTTCCAGTATTTCTTCAATATATCTCTAGAATAATATAAAGGAGAGCTATAACGCTGGTTTCAGTGTTTTTTCATTTATTATATAAAAGAAAAAAATTAATGCAATTGTTTTGTACACATTTAAATTCCATAAAACAAATCCATAGAAATTAGGATACTGTATGCATGCACTCTGCATTTTCTTTGTTAAATGTCTTGTTCACAAAAATAACACCACATTTTTTTTCTTTGAAGCCACTAAAGCAGAGGGAGAACAAAAACATGCAGCACTGTACACATTTGCATAGTATATTTTACCCAGCATGCCTTGTAGAATGCTACACATACCTATATCAGAAAAATAAAAGGGGTTAAATTATCAATATAAATAACTAAAATTTAAAGAAAGAAAAAAATTATTTGACAAAGGCATTTTTTCCCCACTTTATCACTGGAGATATAGCAATAGTCAGGGATATTCAACAGGCCTCAGAATAGAAGGGGAAAACTTTCTGTATTGTTTTGCCATTTTCACTTTTTAATGTTTTATATTAATAACTTTATTTTTTATTCCCTCCCCCATCCCTTCCAAAACAAAGCTAATGGCTTTAACTTATATTTTAAACTAGTATCCAGTACAAAATAAATTAAGGAATCCCTAACTAAAATTTTTGCACTGGGACATCTTGGTTGATCATTCTAATTTGAGGCTGTGAAAAACAAAAAATTTCAAACATGTCCAAAATTCAGAGGAGCGCTGAGAGCTCACTTGCTGTGACATTTTGTAGTTGTTATTGAAGGAGAAGAAATAAGAACAGAAAATATAGTATGAGTCTTATCACAAAATAAAATTTAATAAGTTTTATGGAAAGGAATAAAATAAATTACAACCACAGATTGCAAGGCTATGAAATAAATTGCTGGAAAGGTATCAAGCAGCAAGTTAAAAAGATGGTAGATGAAACATATAACTAAATCTATTTACTTTTAAAAAATAGGACTGCCAAATTTAACAGTGGATTTTGTTGTAAGTTTGTGCTATAACAAATGTGCTTCTTTCTCCTCAATCTATTTTCATATTATTGGCAAAATATATATATATATTTTATAATTTTGTACTGTACAATATATATTTTTGCTACATTATTTATTTTTCTACTGCTATTGCAGAAGTAACAACATAGATTTATTTTGGCAATAAAATGCTTTCATTTTAATAACGTCCCAGAAAATATTGTAAGGCATATGAAAAATAGTATGCAACAATATAGCTTTAATGATCCTGCATCTTTAATACATCCCTTATGCATACAGAATTCACACTGATTTCAGTTAAGTGTGTGAAAGTGGCATGCAAGTAGGGCAAGAGAGGCCCCTACATAAATATAGACATAGCCATTGGTTGAGAAATTTTAAGTGTTCAAAACATAACCAAGAACACTTAGAAAATATTAAAAAGCTAGAGGCCAGCCACTTTTGGTTCTTAGTTCTCATTTTAACTCCTTATCATTTTCAATTGAGGAAGTATCAGTGTATACCCCAAACCACTTTAAATCCATTAGTATCATTTTCTACCATCTTTCTGCAAACATTTTACATCCATCAAAAGAAACAAAAGAAAGTGTCATATGAAACTATGACTCCCCAAAACTCAGTGCTCTTCACTTATATTTATACATTTTTCATGTAGGAGTTACAGCCCTTAATTATAATATCTGATGAGATACTTTCGAATCTTCTCATAGCTAAATTACATGCAGCATTTGAGATTAAATTATCCATAAGTAGTTAGAGATGATTGCTATCAGAGGATGTATTTCATTGGAAAATCCCTTCAAATAAAAGAAGAAAACTTTAAAAAGTAATTTTTTTAATGCTGTAGCTCTGTCTGCCCCTATAAACCAATTTCACTATTTTGACCAATTTGACAGCTTAATTCAAAGAAAAAAGTTGTTTTTGTTGTCTATTGTATTGATTGATTTGATCATGATTATCATTGAAAAGAGGAGGACTGTTCTATGCTGCATAGACACAGCTTAAGTAAGTAACTTAGGAACAGTTACAGTATGACATTAAAGTTATAAGGAACTAATAAAACAGATTTTATTACATAATTTCCTATAAAGTTTTCATTCATATAGTCATTCAAGGATGAGTTTTATATAATTAAAAAAACCAGCATGCAACATTGTCATGAGAGACAAAGGCAGAAATATAAAAGGACTAAGGAATACATATGTATTTATTTGAAACACTGATATGAAATTTGTTCCAATTACATGGGAGTCCAAGATAATGTATACCCTTACCCAGTAATTGGTTAAGTCATGTTCTTGGTGTTCTCAAAAGACAAAAATTTGAATTTGCAAAACAGCTGCATTTAAACATCAAGTCTTTGGAACTACTCTCTTTTAAACTTAGAGCTAGATATCATAACATGTTGTACACAAAGATAAATTACTTTGCAGTTTGTTTTGTTCCCTATTATGATTCATTTGTTAAATTAACCAAATTAACCATACTTCAGGATAATCTGTGAACCAATTCAAAGAAAACTTCACTAATATGGAAGAAATGAAGGGTGACAAGAGCATATGGAAACATGCAGCATCTGGGATAAAATCATCAGTTTAAAATCTAAAGGGAAGGCAAATTTTAACACTTTATGCAATTAGCTTTCAGCAAAGTTAGCAATAATAGTAAGAAATTTGATCACTGGTTTTTGACAAGTTATTTCCCTTTTAAGACCAACTGTCTTCTCTAGAGAAGAGGTAGTATATAAATATCAATATAGAGGGCAAATTCTACAGTGGCATTATGTTTTGTTTTTTAGCAAATACCAAAATAAAATTGTACAACTTAAGAAAATATGCCAGCATGCAAATTAGGGTTACCTAAAAACATTCTTAACTGACATCCTGGGTTGCAAAAATATTTTGTGATATGTTCATTTAAAGAATTTAAATTTGCAAACTATCTTTTGCCATAATTTTCTTCTCGCACTCTCTTTCATTACCCCCACTTTATATTATGAATTTTAAGGCCCCCACACAAAAGACAAGTTCAAGTATGCAGGTATGAAAAGAGGTTAACATTCCAAAAATACATTTTGCAAAAAACAACAATAATAATTAGAGTAAGTGACATTATTTAAAGGGAACAAATAATTGTCTCATAATTTGTTTCACATTTTAAAAATTCATTTCATTAAGGACTAAATGCAATGACTTGTATAGTCACAACATTAAGACTCTCTTATTAGGAAAGACCATTAGTCTCAATTGTTAAGAATTTCAACCTTTCTTCCAATAGAACTGTATAAAGATAAGAGAGAAACATTAGTCATTTATAAACATTTCTAAGTGTTGCTTTAAATATTGCAGTAAATGAGATAATATTGTTGATTATAATATTAGAGTCACATTATAGCCGTGAGAATTAACATCAGGATTGACAACTTGCATTCCCTTTTTTTTTTTTTTGTCTAGGACTACATTTCCACATTGTCCCATGAGTCTTCATTGTTACATGTCTGCTGACTGAAGTGACAGAATTCTAACAGGTATTTTATACTATAAGTTAAAATAGCCCCCAAATATTATAAGACTTGTTTCTCCTACTTGTGATAATTTGCTACTTTAAATAAAATAAATGAAAAACAAAGTATTTGTGGAATACATCTATTCCAAAGGTGCTTAGTGTGCTTGACAAAAATAAAACTTTTCACTTAGTCAATATCTGGATTTTAGTATCATTTACACAGAAACAAACCACTTTGTAATAAAAGGAAGATGCATATTTCTTATTCATTTGGAGGAAATAAACTTACTACAGAAGGAAGATGAAATGTCAAGTTAAAGTGAAATTTTAAATATATCCATTAAGAAAAATATACATTATACCCTTTCCAAGATTGTTAGCTTTTGAATAAGAATGCAAAGCAAAACGGTATGGACATCTGATGGTAAATGATGGATTGAATTTGTACACGGATACTGAATGGGCCTCCCTCTTTTTCAGCATGACATGGAAGTCTAGAAACAAGGCTTTGAGAGACCTTTAAAACTAAGTGACTTTTTAAAAGTTGAAAGAAAATGGTGATCTTGTTGACTAGGAAATATATGTAAACGCTGTTACAGCTACCTGCCATAAAATGTAAATATCTTAAAGTAGTTAAATGACCAAATTGCTAATGCTACTACAGAAAAAGCTGAACAGCTGTCTAGTCTAAATTTATACACCTTGGTGCACTCTTTGCAATTAAATACTTTAAAGCACACAAACAAGAAACCAGTAAAGCATATAGAAAAATGTTTGGCTAATGTTTTCTTTCTCATGCAAATATGTGCTGTACATGTAATAAATATATTTTTGTTTGCTGGAAAATGCTCTTCTATGTTCTAACAAAGTATTTAGTAATGGCAGGTTATATATATATATATTTTTAAGAGCCTAATGGAGATAGCTCTCTTAAATGTCTTAACTGAAAGTTCTGTAAACTTTGCTAGATGACAAAAGAACTTCACAAGCCAGTGTCACGTTAACTTTTAAAATTTACTGAGCCCATGTTTAATTGTATCAAATGTGTGAATGACTTACAGAATTATAGGCATCCTCATTATCAACTAAACAGGTTCATAATGGGGCACACGCAGTGAACGTGAAGGGAGACTGCAGGATGAGACGGCAATGAGGTTCAAGATGAGGGTAACTAATCAAGAATGTGAAACTTTTCTTTTTTCTTGTGGGGGGGGTGTTGCTGGGGATTGAACTCAGGGGCACTCAACCACTGAGCCACATCCCTAGCCCTATTTTGTATTTTATTTAGAGGCAGGGTCTCACTGAGTTACTTAGCACCTCACTAAATTGCTGAGGCTGGCTTTGAACTTGCTATCCTCCTGCCTCAGCTTCCAGAGTTGCTGGGATTATAGGCATGCGCCACTGCACCCTGGGACACTTATTTTCTTGATCAGGAAAAATTATTGAACTGGTGCATGCTTTGAGAGTCTAAATATTGAAAAACTTGGGGAAAAATAAAATAATATAAAATTAATTATTCTTGTTTTCAAAAATAGTCTTTATAACATGTACCAGTAGAAAAGGATTTCATGCTTGGTTCCTATCAGGTTTGAGAAAATGCATACATTTTTGGAATTTTAGAAACAGGAGTCTTTTATAAAGACATTTTGTCTTGTATAAAAGGGTCAATTTCCACAACTTTTTGGATCATAGGGAACCTAAGTCTTCCTTGATAATAGAAGACATTTGTCACCAATTCTATAATTATAGTTACTGTAAAAACTGAATAATTAATGAGTGATTAAAAATGCTCACTAGAAGTAAGGTATCTCAATCTCCAAATTCTTCATAATTCTTTGCATTAAAAATGTTGTAATTATAGTGTATATATTCTGCATCTATGCGTTTGCAAGCTTTTGAATTTATCATTTGTTTTAACTTTTCCAATTTGTAAAAAGCTAACTTCCAATACCTAATTTTTATGTGTCATGGAAAAAAAAATCCTTAGCATAATTTAAAACATTTGGCGAAGGGCTAGAATGTTTAGATATTCAAAGACATAAACGGAGTGATGAAATAGAAAGATACTTAACTACGCTAGCAGGAAAAACTGACCCCATGTTTGTATTAAGTGGGATAGCTGATCTCCCACCTGGAGTTGTTAAGCTTTGTACTCAGGAGGATCTATACCACATTCTTGGTGTGACTTCAGTTCCCTGGATGTATGTAGTTGTGCTCAAACTGATTAAAGAAACAACATCTCATTTCCCATTTCTTATAATCAGCTATGCTCGGGCTTCTCTTTACTATTCATTCTCTCTGCCAATTTTTTTTTTTTTTTGCCAAGTTCAAACGAGCTAACAGTATTGACTGAACAGAAAGCAAAACACTTTGAATACAACAGCTGTGCCAGCAAAGAAATAAAAATATTAAAATCTGAGGCGACTATATAGTTTCTGCATTAAGATTTGAGTTTTTTTTTTTTTTTTTTGGCACTATCAATACATTTGGTAAGTTTGAAAAGCCATTCTGGCAACATTAACATATATTAAAATGTTTATACATTCCAACTTTTAAGTGTAAATTTAGCTTCCAGCAAATAAATAGCTAGTTTTGGCTTCTATTGATACTTTGATTTTCTTATTGGTTTTTTTCCCCAAGATTTCAATTGATTGCAACATGCTCAAGTAGACTTTCTAGTCAATTCACCCAAATTCCAACAGGAATTGGTTTATAAATTGGTTCCAACTGGAACTGGTCATTTGGAATTTCCAGCATGGGAAATTATTTTATATGTGCCTTGTTAAGTACCCTAAATTACAAATTGATGTGTTTAAATCTATGAAGAAAACAAAAGGTACTGTTATGTAAATGTAGCACTTAAAATATCTATATGATTGGGCATCTAATATCCATCTAGACTCAAGGGCATAATGTACATTTTTTTGTTGTTGTTTTTTGCCCCTTAGCATCAAATGACAGCAGCCCATAAGCACAGTCAATACTGTGCTGTGCTTGCCAAGTTAAGATGATTGGTTTATCCTAGCAGTGCTATGGCAAATTGTCAACAGATGAATACATATTTTTTTGTTGTTTTGGCAGCCTCAAAGCCTATGCCGGGAGTCATGGCTGTATCCCCCAGGTGAGCCTCGGTTCCTGTGAGGTTTGTAAGTGTCCTGGTATGAGTCAGGGTAATCTTCTTCCACAAGAGGGTAATGATCTCGGCTGTGCTGGGAACTGGAAGACAAACGGTTTCTACTCTTCCGAGCTCTCTCATTGTGATAATTTTCATCAGAGGTCATTAGACTTCGTCTTTCAATCGGAGAGTTCTCTGTGGAGTGGTTGCTGTGCCTCATTCGCTGACTCTAAAATATCAGATAGTTCACTGATTAAATAATGTCAGCTTCATTCACCTAAACATGTAAATGAATGTACAATAATAGGATCTGTCTAATGAGAAGAGAGATATCTGACTTGATAAAACATTTTGATGTACAAATGATCTGCCCCAAATCTCTGGTTTTATTTATTTAGGACACAACATGTAAAGATGCCATAGTGCTGATAATTTATGAATTTAATTACATAGTGCTGCATGACTATGCATCCTATTGAAAACACAGAATTGAAAGTTGACTGTTAAATAGAATTTAACATATTTAGAAAGGCCTAATAATTGTACTTCTACTGCAAAAATGAGGATTATTTTACTATTGGGAAATAAAGTTCAGAATAGCATCATTTATTTTATTTTTCCCTTGAACTGATAAAATCTTTCTTCTTCTAAAATCATATGCTTCACCTTGATCTAGCTGAATTTTCCTAAAAAACATCTCAATGAAATTATTATTTGTGCTATCTATAAAATAGTGCATTTGTTTCTGAAGCCTACATAAACGTTAGACTCTCAACAATATTCTTTCCACAGGAGTATATAGTAATTATGGAGCCCGCTAATTGATGCCTCATAAATCTTGCTTCCTCAATTGAAATGTCCTGCAAAACTAATTTTCAGATAGAAAGTAAATTTCTCTAATATCATTAATTGAAAGTATCATCTTAAGTCACTTATTTGATGGATCATAAAATGTTATTCAAATATTTTTCTCTCTATGGGAACCATGGATCAGTGTGTATACAAGCTTAGGTAGGCCATCTCAGATAAGGGACAAGATTCTGATGAAACCATGGGCCCAGTCACATCTTCTCCAAAGCACATGCAGCTTCATACAGAAGCAAACTCATTGAGTGGGTCATAGACAGTGCCATCAACTTCAGCCAGGTGTCTAATAATTTAGACCCTATATTCCTGAGAGAAGTACGCCTTGAGACAAAAGCCACCCCATTAACTCATTAAGGAAACTGGGAAAACTACTCTAGGTGGGTGTGTTAGGGATGACAATTCAAGAGTGTTGCATTCATAACAAAGTACAACATTCTACTTCCTCCTACACCAGAGAAGCATACTGTTTCATACATCCATTCCTCATCCCACTAATTTATGCAAAATTCAGAGCCAACTCAAGTGAGCCAATGGAAATGCTATTCTCATCAGCACACAAGAAGGAAAACGAGGCAGGAAATAGTCCTGATGCATACAGATACACCGTACATTGCCATCATACATTTCCATGTTCATTTCCAGCCTCAAAAGTGATTCATTTATATGGCAGATTTTCTGCTTACAGAGATGAAATTTTGCAGAAGAGTAATACAGTTATAATAGCATTTCAGAGAGTGCCATTTATCTCAGAGTTAACTCTACATGATCTACAATTATGACTATCATTATAACCCATTAAAACAAAACTAGTCATGATGAAAGAGGGCTCAATTGACTACATGTTCCTCCGTCAGCTGGGGGTTTGGTCATATTCCAGCAGCTGCTTGATAAATGGTAAATAATAATTAATGTAGAAAGGAAAGAGTCATTTTGTATCATAATGCCTCTGGCTCCCTATATCTACTTCTGAGTACAGCATGAGAACAGCGGAAGAGAGAAGCTCCTGGTCCTGTGCTCTTTCCTAGCTTCTCTAAAGGACACTTTCCATAGCCACCGAACAAGGTGGACTCCTGGACCCCTCCAAGAAAACTCAGAGACCTGTCACCATTTCCAAACCGAGTAGTTCTACTCACATTCACATGCTGTCTTTTGCAAAGTAAAGGACATGTCTAGCAACCTCAGGGGTGGAAAAAGTTAAGGGCAATCAAAAGCCCTATCTGTCCCCAAATATCTTATTTATCTAGCTATGGTAGCTGAGATTTGCATGGTCCTATAATCATTAAAAAGTGCCACGGAGAAGCCATGGGCAGCTGCACTGAGTAGACACTGAATGATCAGGGATTGATTCATTATAAATTCCCAGCAAGAAAGTCTCTAGAAAGGGTTTCTGGGTAACCTGCTGTAGGATGGAACATGATTAGGTAATAGTTTATATTTTCTTTATATAAAGTGCCCCTATGTTTTCCTCTTCAGATAAGGACAACCCTAGTCTTCAATTTAATCAAGTTTTCTATAGAATCTTAGTAATGAGGTAGTAAAAGTACAAGGGGCAATACCTGTAACCCAGAAATTGCCGTGGGATATGGTGAGAGTGCTGTGGAGCCCAAATTCCTCCCCAGTAGCGGGGTCATGGGGGTGCTGCTGGTCGTGTGGGTGGCTCGCCAGTACGCCTCAAGGTACTCTCCTAGATGTTCACAAGCATCCTCAAGCTGATTCTCATCCAATATAACATCGAACATTTCCTGTAGGTGACAAGAAAATCCATTGTTTTCCAAAAGTTAGGTTTTAGGCAATGAAACCTAAAATACCCCTTAAGGCAGATAATAGCATTTCTCAAATCTAGATGCTAACATCAAATTTGAGAACATAAATTAGCAGTTTCTAAAGTTAAAATCTAGTAAATACAGTTGCAGTTATCCACATGCAAATGTAGATATTTACAGAAAAATAAGAATACTCATTAAATATTCACATCTTTCATTATTTTAAAAGAAAAAATGAGGTTAATGTGACAATTGTATAGGTGATAAGTGAAAGTGTATAATGAATTCACATTCCCCCCACATTCCTCTGTAACTGAATTCTACTCCAGAATACAAAAGAAGCAAGTTAACAGAACTGAAAGAGGAATTCTAAAAATGTTTTGGGTAGTGACATTATCATTGGAATAAACATTTCATCTCCCAAGGTAACAATGTTGAAGGGAACACCATTTACTTAATTTTTAAAATGTTTGGGGAAATGATATTATTTGCCTCATGATAAAAAAACAAGGAAACAAAGCAGGATTAATGCTAGAAAATCACATTAGAGTGATTGCTGCTACCATAAGATTGTTACAAATGTAAAAAAGAACAGGGTGTTTAACCAGGGTCAAAGGTGTTTATAGAGGAAGTATTTGGGGGTACATGTTTCTGTCAGCAAGGACTTTGCTCAGCATCTGCCCTGTAAGCAGGAAGTTGTTCTTCTACTCCAACAGAAGAGTGGCCCTTCTGTTAGTCTAGTGTGGCTGGGAACATGGACAGGATACACCCAGGATAGATCCCTTGGAGAGCCAGCCAGAAAACCTTGGCACCTCCCTGCAGGTGTTAGTACATGACATAAAAGCAGGTGAGTGGTGGAGGATCTAACTTTCAGTAGCAGGATTGAAACATCTTCTCTCTCACACCACCTCCACCACTACCTGCCTGCTTTTATGAGCTAATTTTACTAAAATAAGAACCTTCCAGTAATGAATCAAATACATGGTTACTGTCATAGCACCAACATCACTGGATGGATTGACCCTTAATAGCAATTTGGAATATAAAGAGTTGACAACCAAGCTCCGTTGGTTCATTCTCTTCAGTGCTTAGAACAGAGCTCCTTGAAGCAGAAGTCACCATAGAAACTCTTTCCCACTATCACCCCAACTTTTACTATTTATTCATTTAGTCAGTTAGTTTTGATGCTTGGGATCAAACCCAGAAACTCAGGCATGCTAAGCACCCGCTATACCCACTGTGCTTCATTGCACCCACACTTACTATTTCAATTTTCCATTATATCCACCTTTACTGTAAAACTCCCCTCTAAATTGGAAAGCTATTTGAAGGTCTTTGGAGTAGAAGTAGGAAAATAATAAGTAACTTCAGTTCAAACTGATGCATATTTAAGAAGACTCAGCCAATTCAATTCATGTAGAAAAATGCCCCCCAAGAGCAGTTACTAGTGGAATTTCTAAATGTTATATTCTATTCATTTTTAAAATATTTATTCAGTACCTATTTAATGCTAGGCACTGTAGATTTACAGTGGCAAAGAAAGCACCTCATCCTATGCTCAAGAAGCATAAAGTCTTGTGAGAGAGACAAGTATTAAAATTCTTAATAATCTATGTCACACTGGGACTTTAGTTCAGAACAATATAGAGAACAATAATGTTCGGGGCTGTAAGCTTAAAGTTTTTGGATTTAGAAGGAGGCCCAGAGAGACTTATAAAAATGAAGCTTTGGAAGAAAGGGAAATTATAAGTAAGTTAAAGAATTCTATCTGTCGAGGGAAGAAAACAAAACATAAAGGAAAGCAGAATTACAATAAAAGAAAGACACCATGTGGCCCATCAGACAGGGAAAGGAGCTAGTTCCTAGAGCTTCAGTTGACATATATCCTTCCCATAATCTCCTTTCTCACTGAAGTAACCTGTGGGAGTTTCTAGTCTCTTGCCACCAAAAGCCTCCTTCCCCGGTTAATATAAACTTTCCACAGTGCCAAATGTAGAATCCAAGAAGTGCCCATAATGCTCTGATATAAACAGTGGCAGTGCAGTGTTGACCTGAGGGGGAGCAGAATGGCTATACCCTAAAAGCATCCGTGAACTCAGATGGCACTGGAGGAAGAAAGAGGAAACTGGCAGCACCAAACAAAGGGTCCTTCAGCTACTGTGGGCTCCAGCATTTCACAAATTCTATGCTGCATGTGATTAGAGCCTGCTGTTTGTATCATTTTATTTATACTTACTGTAAAATTTGATTACATAAATCTTATGCTATAATGTGGGTTTGGTTAGTTCCAGTGAATCATTTTCTTGCTTTAACAAGGTCAATAATAATAATAATAATAAGGGTCCTGACAATGACAGCCAGGATTGCACAATGCTGCTTGGGGGAGGTTTACATCTGCTTGGCTATTTACATGCTACATTGTCACTGTTGTAGATATATTTAAACACACATTTAATTACCAGAATTTTTAAAAAGTATTTTTCTTTGCCAGTGGGTAGACTCTATATACATCAGCACATGGCTGTTTGCTTAAGCCCGATAATTTCTTGTAAACCATGCTTTTGCACTGCTAAAAGACAGTTATACGATGGAAAATGATTTGAAACTGCTTTTATGCTTTCAAAAGCTCAGGGGAAAAAAAAGCAAATTTCAGTTTCTGAATGAATACTGACATATGTATCTTATTTCCAACTAGAAGGAATTTCACAGCCTGCATATCTGTGACAATTTTTCTTTCTGTTTAGGAAATAACACAGCTGAACAGACTAGAGTGCTAGAAAGTCAGTATAAAGGGAATAAAACACACACACACACACATTCAAGGAGAAGCAACCCAATGACTTATGCATACGAACTTTGCCAATTCTTTACAATTTTTTTTTGTTTTAATTAGTTACACATGACAGTACAATGATCTTGACATATCATACATTTGAATCAGATGGGATATAATTTCTCATTTTTCTGAGTGTACAAATTGCAGAATTACATTGGTCATGCTGTCACGTACATACCCACTGCAATAATAATATCTTTATTCTGCTGTCCTTCCATTCCCCCAGTTCTTTACAAATTTAAAGGTTCACATCTAATCAGCACCTAATTTTGCAATATGCAAGATCCATAGTGTGGGCTAGGGATGCAAAAAAAATATTTAATCAGCAAGATCCCAGGAGGTAAACAGTTACCCACTCAGTGACACCAAGCCCTTGGTGACAGCTGAAGATAAAGGTAATGTGGAGTTGTTTTCAAAGAGTTGCTACAGTGACTACCTCTGACATTCTAGGATGGGATATTTTCTACAGCTGGAGTAGGCGGAAATGGTTTGGCTGCCAAAGTAAATAAGTAATGAACAGAGGAATCAAAACAAACCATCAAAAATTCAGGCACAGTAGCTCCTTCTCTGGATAACCTCTTTCAGGAAAATTAAAAACTAAAGCATTGTAAATAACCAAGATCAAAGCATGCCTCTAGCTCATCTGGTGGCCTAGAGAACTAATGGCAGGGAAGAAAGAAAGGGAAAGAAAGACTGAAGCTGAATAATAAGAAAACAAAGAAGATTTGTAATATTTTTAAAAAATTGCAAGTATTTAACCCTCTGTCTAGTTCTTCATTCAGAGAGTAATATGTGACAGTCTTTCCTGGGGAAACTATCTGAGTTAAGGCAACCAGCCATCTTGGTGTGCTAGGGATTATTTCTGGAGATGGGGGGCTATCACTATTAAAACCTGGCCAACACTGAGCAAATTGTAATGTTTGGTCATCCCAATTTTAATAGAAGTTGTAGTTCTTTTTAGGTCCTACACTGAGGAACAGTGCAAATTCTATTTATTTAAATTCTTTTTGGAGGGAAGATAGAGGGACTGGGTAGATCATCCTTTATAACTATATAATATCCAGTTTCTAGCCTAGAGGGGGTAGTCTCATTAAAATGAATGTATCTTGTCAAATATTTTTATACAGGAAGTTGTTATTGAATGTTTCAATAAAAAGTTTACAAAACTTAAAAACTAATTATTCAGTTTAATTTTAGCTTTTAAAAAGTTTGGTTCATAAAAAAATTTGGTTCATTATTGCATATTAGCTAGACAGGGAATTAAATATATGTCAACTCTTATGGTACATGCATAGCTTTATGTTCATTTGTTGTATATAGATAAAACCTCACATGGGACATCTTTCCTATTTCTAAGTGGATAAAAGGATACAATAGGGATCTGCATGTTTTCATTTCTTTGTTACTGTAATATAAGACTGAAACTGCTACCATTTAGAACAAATGAGTGGCAAATACTGTTTAGTACAATAAAATGACTGAGTGGCACCAATGTTTGTTTCATGTCAAACTTGCATTTTTTCTTTATTAATGCTTTTGAAATCTTGAGTACTAAACTTACTGGTCAACTTGTGATAGGAAACTAGACTCTAAGTTAAAGCATTTATAAAGACCCAGGTCTTGTGGAGATAAAGGAAAACCAACCAAAATTGAGGGGCTCTAGCAGTTCATCTCAGGTAGTTTCTACTTTAATGAGCTAAACATGAAAGACAATTGTAGTTCCTGCCACTAATTAGTGTGAGTAACATGAAAGCAAAGAACGTGGTGACTTTGATCCCTTCCTCCTCTTTATTTGTTATGAATCCAAATTAGTTCTAGTTATGAACCCCAACGTGCTTTCCTCCCCACATTGTTCCATCCCATCTTGTCTTATTCTTCAAAGACTATTGCAACATTGGCCAGTTTTACTGTTTGCAGAAAAGACACCCATTATTCACATTGATCAGTAATATAGCATTTGAGGGAATGAACTATCCTGAACTATCCTGAACTCTACATCCAAGTTGGGTGCCTGAAACCCTAGAAATATGTAGTCTTCTTTGGACTGAGAGAAACTGGATCCCACGTGGCCTTGTTTCATAAAGAAAATATGAAATGTATTATTCCTTTATTTAAAAGCAGTGTTAGGAATTAAATTCTGGACATTCAGACACTCTATAATAGTGAATGCACCAGTAGGGGCTGGCACCTCAAATAGATGACTGAATCTACATGATTCCAACTTATTTAAATAAGATTACTGGAAAAGGGCACTGGAAAATTACTACTATGAGAGAAATACGATCCAATATAGTGGGCACTATCATTTCTTCATTCCCTTCAGAGCTCTTGTGTGTAATAGAATAAATCTGAGTCCATTCAGAAATGGAAAATAAAATGGAATAGAAGAGAACTACTATGGTTACTGTAACACGAGAGGTTTACAAGATTCCACTGAGGAGATGAGTCTCACAGAGAGAACGATCAATGTCATTTTACACACACACACACACACACACACACACAAAACCATTACAAAGCTCAAAGAGCCACAGGGTCAGCTTTTGGTAACACAAGGCAGCTTGTAACTAAGTAGGATTAAAGGATTACATGTCATTTATATATTCAATTGTCTATCTGCTTTTCTCCACCATACATTATGCAGCTCTTATTATCATAGTACCAGGGCAATCTGGTCTTCTTAAAACATACTATTCTCAACCTCTCTGAAGAAGGGAAATGGTAACAATATCTGGTAGAAGCCCATATGAAAACTAAGTATGACATATAGATGTATAGTGGTAAAACACATCAGGCTGATCATATGAAAAGAAAAATGTATGAGATGGGCTTGTGGGTCCTGGCCCCACAGGCCCCTTTTCCTTGTGTATTCCAGACATCCTCACAGTTTATCTTAGTCTATAGAAGATTAAAAATGGCCATAAGCTCTTTGACACCTCCTGCATTGAGTGGAGGTCTATGTCCCCTCTCCTTGAATCTTGGCAGTCTTTGTAAAACTATTTTGATGAACAGAATGCTGGGGAAGGGATCCTTTGCTGGTATCTGAGATCAAGTCTTAAGAGATTTGGAATACTTGTTCTTGGAGCCCTGGAAGCTATGATGTGAGCAGCCCACATCCCTGTGGAAGGGATGCCACAGAGAGAGCCCAGGACAACTGGCAGAGGGAGAGGAGCTGACTGACTCCCACCTTCCAGCCACCTCTGCTGGGTGACTAGGTCAGCAACCAGCTGAAGACTACCAATGGCTGCTGTTTGAAGTCACAAAGTTTTAGGGGAGCTTACTGCACAGTAATAGATAACCACAACTTGTGCCAGGACAAGGGTGGCAACTTCTTTTGGCTAGGTAAATAAGGCCTGCCTCCTGCTTCCACCAAACTTGTTTGGGGCACAAGCCCTCCCATTTGTTTACATATTGCCTATGGCTACTCAAAGGCAGAGCTGGTTAGTTGTTCAAAGACCATATGGCCCACAAAGCTTAAAATACTTATTATCTAAACTTTTGCTAAAAAAGTTCACTGATCCATCTCCTAGAAGAAGCCTTATCCTCGAAATCCATGATTTTCTTTCCAGGAGAATACATAATAACTACTTTATTGCCATTCACCATCTAAAGTATCACCAACCTAAGCATCAGAGATCTTATGCAACTTTGGCCAAGATGTATGACCTTTGGAAAGCCAGGTCACCTCTCTCGGTCTCAGTTACCTCATTTATAAAACAAGGAGACTGGACTGGATTAGTCTTCCCTTGAAACATTCTGTGAAACACTAGACCATAGAATGATCCATGGAAAAACAGCTCTACAGTCACACCAGCAGAAGCACCACATACTACCTATCCTATTGGAAATAGAAAATGCATAGTCAGGATTCTGCAGCAAAGAAAGAAGACCATCTTTGTTACATAAGTATTTTTTTTTTCCAAACACTTTTGGCATCATAGTCCCTTTCCAAAACCACCTGATATCATCACAGGGAACCCGTATCATAAAGAACACACCCTAGGAAACACTCTACTGGGTTCTCTGTAAGGTCTTTTTTTTTTTGCTTCAATAGTCCCTGAATCTAGAATCCATTCTTCTGGATAGAGAGAGTTAACTTTTTCCCCCCTGTGTTCTTTTAGACTTCCCTTTCCAAAAACTGCTGCCTTTAATTTCTTTGCAATGTGAAACTCTGCCAGTAAAATCTGCTGACTTTTCAGACTGGAGAAGCAGGGGCCAATTAAGCAAGTTGCAAATTCTCCTAAAGGAACTAAAATGACACAGTGATCACCAATCTTTGGATGACAATTATAATTATGGTCTTGAAGTAAAAGGACAAATGCAGACACATTTTTAAATTGTTATTGGTTTTTATAAGCTGAAGATTTCTTTGTGTGTGCCAAAACAGAGTGCACATTCCTTCCCAGCATTACACATGCTATTTATGCAACATCAAATGTTTAGAAAATGTTAAGTATAAGGTAACCTTACATACTCAGACCACTTTGTTTAAAATGCCAAGTTATCTGACCAATTATATTAAACAAGGAGGTGTTTGTCCCATTAAGATAATAATAGGACAAGGCTGTCTTCCAAGAGCCATTTGAGTGCCATTTGTTCCCCTTGGTGGGGGCACAAGTCCTGAAGAAGCCCACGGTATTAAGTATGCACATGCCTTCTCTTGGTTCCAGCTATTTCAGACTTAACAAGTTATACTAGATGAACAACTCAATGATCAACTTTCTCAGCAAAACACCTCAATTTTAATAGCACACAAGTATTTTCTCTAGTAACTATCAAGAATAAATATTAATAAACTCATTCTCATAAAAAGAAAAGGGATTTTCTACAATAAATCTTCTGCACTTCTATTTCCATTTGAGTATCCACTTCCCAGAACACCAAACTGATAATCAACCTTCTAAGATTGTTCAGGGGGAAAAAATGGAAATAATAGCATGGTTCTGGCCTTTGAGCTGGTCAATAAAGATACTCTCCCTTCAACTGTGAAGTATTACTGAGTCAGGGGCTCCATAATACATTCTTTTATATTCATTCAGTGCTTTAATCATGCATTCCACTGTGAAAGTGACTTCATTAGTAAGAAATTCTGTGTTCTTAACACAGAATTATCTGCATTGTAGGTATCCAGGTGTGTGCATATTTGCGTGTAGGGTAGGTAGGGTTCGGAGGAGAATAAAGTGGTTTTGGAACCAGAAAGATCTAGATGTAATTCTAATTTGCTATGTGACCTTAGAGAAATCCTTGAACCCCTCTGTTTTCAATTGACTCAATTGTAAAATGGGAATTATATTGCTTATTTTATTAGGTAACTGAGGATTACTGACAATCTATGTAAAGCATCTAGCACACACCAGGCCATTGTAAGTATCTAATGAAAGGATGCTTTATTACTCCCTGTCCCTGTACCTCCATTCATTCATTCAACAAATATTTATTATGATGAGTCCACTATGACAATGTAGTGAGTGAGTTACAAGAGTGAGCAAGGGAGACACGGGTCGTTACAAAGTCTAACCAACCAGACATCGCATGGCACAAAGTATACCTAGTAATTACAACAGAAACACCTGGACAGTGTGTACTGTGTACCAGGTGCTGTTCTAAGAGCTTTTCCACATATTCACTCACTGAATTCTTACAATAACCTCATGAGGCAGGTACTTGCCTAAGATTATGTAACTAATCAGTATGGATTTGAACTTAAGCATCTGGCTCCAGAGTCTGCTTTTAAAAGTGATGCTGTGTTGCCTCTCTAAACATTTGAATTTAATTTTATGCTTTAAAAGCATAAATGGTCCTTGAACAAGAATATAAAAAAGCCAGTGAATCAGTTGACCAAAAGAGACTGTTATTTCCTTTAGAGAAAAGTCATAGAAACAGTAAGTAGGTCAATTGAGCAAGTGGTGACATGGACTGGCCAATACCCAGTGCCAGGTGATACCATTCACTTCTCCTGACCCTCACTCCATCATTGTTTGCCTTTGAACCCAGCATTTGTTTTCTGGCAATGGCACTAGGAGAAAAGTTAATTTACTGTAGTTTTTTATTTCACTCAACCCTGACCCTTTCATCTCCTACAACCACAGGACTCCTCTAGTTCTTATCAATTCTTGACCTTTAACATCATATTTTTTTAATCCTACCAGAACCTTCTAGCAGAAAAAGTTAAAGGAAAGTCAAATTGGCATGCTTTATTTTATTCTGTTCTTTGCTTGAAAGTGTCCATATGACTGGATGCTACCGGCTAAGTGGTTTCCTGAGTGTTTGCCAGGAAATCAAGGGATCAGGAAGGAAAGCAGGTATCAGACCAAAGTTCAGGTCTTATTAAATAGACACCATCTAGTTCTGGAAGTCTGAGCACAATTAACAAGATAGCAGCAGCTTGTTCCAAGAGACCCTTTAGATTTTAAACATACGTCATCACCATTATCATAGAATAAAAATAACAACGCTAATATAAACAAGAACCACCCTTTTCTAACTAGTCAAGAATGATTAAGGGAAAAAAATGGTCATACTTACAGGAGGGCACTGTGCAAGTTTATCAGCTGCTACTAGTTGAACATTCAAGTGTTTACTTTGGGATTTTCCTCTAGATTTAATCAATCGCTGTAAAACCTAAGAGAAGACAGGAGCCGAGCTCTTATCAATGAATTGAAAGAAAATCAAATAAAACGGGATCTTTTTTTAGTCTGTTTAGCCTTAAGGATTAGTAAAGAGGAAATGCAATGTGAGAAATCATATACTATATAAACTCTGTAATGATGTCATCCATTTGCAGTGGCTTTCAGTATAGTGGATTGATTCATGTGTGTTCATGCTGTTCTACCTCTGTGTGAGGTCTTGGAGGGCCCTTGAGTTCCCACTCTGTATTTTATAATTTCCTGGAAATTTCAAAGACAGTCATACAAAAGTGGAGGAACTGCTCTGTACCAGGTCACTTATGTTCGGTAATATTTTGATTTTATTCAGTTGAGTAATATTTTGATTCACCACCTTTATGTCAGATAAATATCACAGTTGTTTACATATTTGTTTATTTTGTCATAAGTAATTAATAGGAAATTCTAGTTTAATTTCATATTAATCAGACTACTCATAATGGAATAATATATTCCTCAAAGAACCCAACCTTCAAACAAGTGTCTAGGGCTATGACATTTCCATAAGAAATGTTCATCCAGTGATATTTTACCTTTAATATGATAAGTATAGTATAAATATCATTATCTTTCTTGAACTATGTATTCTCTCAACTGGGGAGAAAATATAGGTGATCCAAGAATCAATGTTATACAAACAATTTACCAAGACAGAACCTGTAGTCTAGGAAAAGCCAGAGTCTACTTCTTCTGACCTTTCTTTTTTAAAAAATTTCTATTATATACTTGTATAACTCTCTGGTTTGAGACCAATGAATATCTTATAAGAATGGACTCTTCTTTATTTGCTATTTCAAAATTCCTAGAACCTGGAGACTGTTTTAAAATGGGCTCATCAAAAAGAACCTCAATTTTTTCTTGCCCACTAACAACAACAACAACAAAACAGAGAGCAAAAAAAAATATCTCAAAAGAAATGTGCTAATCCTCAAGACTGAAATGAGCCGATTACCTTTGGAGATGAGACTTTTACATGAACAATAATTGGTGCTAAGGAAGTCTTTATAAGTTGTGCTGGGTGATTGATGGTGTCTGCATCAAGAACAACCAATTGCAAAGATCTTGCCAACTCAAAGATTCTTTCAATTTCACTTTGTACTTCCGCTAAAAGGAGAAACAAGAAATAACAGGTACTCTTTATTCTCATTAGTCAGTATTTCTATTTTAAAAAGTATATATTTCAGATATGTTTGTCTACATTACAAATAAAAATATTCTGAATTTTCCTAACCATGTCTAGTTTAAAGTCTTCTAAAGAGAGAGAGATGGTTTGAGTTTTTCATAAAACAAAACAATTGGTGGAAAAACTCAAGCTTTTAAAATTTGCTTCTTACATTCAACCTAACATTTAGCTATTTATATAGCCTTGGTGGGGTTTTTTTATGTTGTTTTTTGATTATTGCTTTGTTCTTCTTTACTTTTGTTTCAGCTATCAAAACTGAAACCATATTTAGGAAACAACTGAGATACGTGAAGCAACATCAGAGAGAAAGCAAATTACATTGAAATAACAGCATTATTATTATTATTGCAGTACTTGGAAGGGAGCCCAGGGTAACTCTGCTACTGAGCTACATCCCCATCCTTTTTTATTTTGAGACAAGGTCTTACTAAGTTGCCTGGTCTGGACTTGAATTTGTGACCCTTCTGCCTCAGTCTCCCTAATCCCTGGGATTACAGGTGTGCACCACCATGACTGGCACAGTGTAACGGTTCTACTATCAACAAGTTATATATTAATATTTTGTAAACATTCTTTTAGAAAAACTAGGAATAACTTGTTTTGACTGTTATGCACATCTTCATACCACAGTTTAATTGTTCAGTGTTTCCTCTTACAATTAACAGATTAGCAATTCTAGCTCAATTTAAGAATTGGAGCCAGTGGACTTTTCTAAAACATAATCATCTTTGATATTAAAAAAATACCCTAAGGCTAATTATATTAAACTGCTGCATTACATATAGATGCAAATCTTTTCAGCTGTTTATAAGAGTCAAGTGACCCAAATCTGCATGGATTTGGTCAAATGAAAAATCAAGTTCTTTTCAAAGGTTTGAAGCAACCCAACTATTTCTTTTTTAAGGAAAATGGATAATCCAAATACACTATAACTTTCTGAAATATAAGAAAGTTCCTTATATATTTTATAATTCATCTGATTTAATTGCACCATGTCCAAAACGTGAATTAGACTATTTATTTTCAGAGAGATTATTTTGTTTTGTTGTTTTGGTCTTTCCTTATTTTTATGGATATTGGTGTGACCTAATAATATTTCAATCTGGTGTACTCTATAATGTTTTAATATAGCATACACAAAGCTATTTAAATGATACCAAAGGTGGCCTAGAGAAAAGGTAGTATTACTCTAAATACCCTCACTGAAAAGGGTTTGTGACAGAATCTCATAATTTACTTTGCTTGTCCAGGATAAACTCAAGTTTGTATCATCCACACACACACACACACAAAATTCTCCTTTCTTTAACCAAAAAGATTAACAGGGTATATGGGGTCATAAATACTCCAGGCTTATCATGTAGCTCTACTTTTTTATGGAAGAAGTTTGTTTTTGTTTTTGTTTTTTTGTACCAGGGACTGAACCCAAGGGTGTTTACATACCTAACTGCATACTCAGTCCTTTTTTTTTTAATGTTTTGTGACAGGGTCTCATTAAGTTGTTTAGGGCCTCACTAAGTTGCTGAGTTTGACTTTGAACTTGTGATCCTCCTGCCTCAGTCTCCCAAGCCACTGGGATTACAGGTTTGTGCTACCAAGCCTGGTGAAGAGGGTTTTTTATAATATCAAAAAGCCTTATTTTCTATACAACCACTGATGTTTAACACATAATGTATGAATTTAAAGAGTCAACATATCTGTTGTTTTTCATATTATCTAATATCAATGATTTGAAAAATTTCACATTGCTTTGAGGAGCGACTAGCTTTCAAGTTATCAATTTAAGGACATTAGATAAGTAGATTTATTTGCCAAATTCTTCTGAGACAATATTCTACATTTGTTAGTAATAATAAACATATTTTCCCCTTTTATTTCTGGCATGTCAGAAACATTTTAAAAAGAAATTTGTCTTGGGGCTGGGCTTGTAGCTCAGTGGTAGAGAGCACTTGCCTCGCATGCGTGAGGCACTGGGTACGATCCTCAGCACTACATAAAAATAAATAAATAAAATAAAGATATTGTGTCCATCTACAACTAAAAAAAAGAAAGAAAAAAGAAAAAAAAAATTGTCTTAAGAAGGAAGTTTGGAAAATTAAACCAATTTTGACTATAGAAAGTTTCAGTCGCAGGATGTTGGAGCATATCCTCTATGCTGTTTTCATTAAGCTGCCACTGGGTTTAAAGAAGCTTGTCACCAGGACTATCCCTGAACATATCTACATTGTTTTATGCTTCAAATTGGAATGTGATATCTTCAGAAGCAGTGAAAAGGCAGTAACGCTAACTGGACTGCCCTGGTATAAGGATCCTCCAGGTCCTCCAAGTCCCTGTCCAAATAACTCAGAAATATCTGGATCTATTTACTCGGCCCTAGCAATGAAGTTAAGTGTAGTTTCTGACGGAAGAAGAAGCAGGCACACCTATTGCATAACCATCACAGAACCTTTGGGCAATAGGCACTCTGGCATAAGCAGAGAGGTGGAGTTTAGATTGACAGAGGAAGCCAGGAGGCCACATTACTTACTGGGATGAGCCCAAAATTCAGAATGTGTGTGTGTGTGTGTGTGTGTGTGTGTAAGAAAAAGGTATCTTTATTTACATAGATAATTTTCTCTAAAAAAAAAACCTCAACCATGCCAAACAATCCTGGCTACCTAGACTAATTATAAGAGGGATTCCAAAGGAAGTTTCTTCCTGATCCTATTCTAGGCAAAGGAAGCTGAGGATTCATAGATTATGATCTGGAGGCCCTCAAGGAACATTTCAAAAAGCTGACCACAGGTGACCCAGCCCGTCTTTCTAGCATCTCTTTGACTGGTGATACTCCTATACCCACATCTATTCATATTACTGCCATGGGCCTAGGTAGCATTTCCCAACATTTCCTGGAACAGTAATCCCACAATATTTCCCATGAAAGAAAGGGGTTTAAGCAAGGGACATATTGCATACTAGAATAGCTTCTTTTAGAATTTCAAATGTGTTACCTTTCATATCTTCAGGGCTATAAGAAATCTTGCAATGAAGAAAACTGCCAACTGTTTAATTCATCATTTCTAAATTTATTTGACCATGGAAAACATTTTAATGTAACAACTATTAATATCTTATAAAATAAACATTTCATAAAATCTATTTAAGAGATCTCTTTAACAAGCAACACTATTTAGCTCTAACAGATTGACCTCAATCTACTCTTTCAGTCTCTTTTCTGGTTCCTCTAAAACCATGCCTGCACTCTCCTTTCTAAGCATGCTCCACACAAATCTAGTTGTTTCTCAATCACACATGCTTTTTTTTTAATGGGTCAATGTTTTTATACATTCTTGTGTGCCTTGAAGAACCAGCTCAAATATAACTTCTAAAAAGTCCTCACAAACCGCTCACCCCCACCCTTCTTCATTATCCTCTAGCTTGCTCTTTGTAATTTCATTATCCCAGAGTATTTTAACCATCTGTCCCTTCTTTTTCTTTACCCATGAGCAAAATACTGAGTCTTAGTTCTATCTGTATTTCCTGAGTCTAGCATAATGCATGGCACATAACAAGTGTTTGATAGACATTTGATGAAAGAATCTACAAATTATGTATTTAATAAGACAACAAATAAGCAACTCAGTGTTATTTTAGATTGACATTAGATGAATTCCAATTGTTGTGGGTACATGACTTCACAGAGTACAGTTAAAAACCAGTGAACTGAGATCTACTTTGTTTCTTCTGAGTATTAATACTACCCTTCCTCATATACCTCACCAACTCTTATGACAGGTAACTAGAGTATAAGGACCAACTTCAGGGAATATCCATGAACTCCTTAGCTGGTGCAAATGGTTGAAGGAACAGGCAACCTCATTTAGCTTTTTAGCATCTTTAGCCTTTCATAATATACCAGAAGGAGAGGTGGTTAAAAGTTAAAGACACAAAGATAGAAGATAGGAGAACAGAGAATAAGAAGCTTGTTTGAGAAATCTTCAACCTACCTGACTGTCCTCATTACCCATGATATTTTATTTTAGTCAGCTACCTGCTATGATTCACCATCAACATGCCACCATCACTGTCTCAAGGCAAAATACTGTGCCTTTAAGAATGTTTCACTTTGTGGAAGGCTCTAAGCACAGGACTGGACAAGGAAACACTCACCTCTAGGATATACCCCTCACATGCACTGGCATGTGAGGCATCCCCTCACAAGCAACCATCCCACAAATATGTATTGGTGATCACCATGTACCAATCTCATGCCAGGATTATAGAGATAATGCTTTGTATCTTCTTTCCAACCTTAAATCAGGGTCAAGGCAAGCCTTTGGGGATTCTTTTTTCTCTCTTTTTTTTTAAAATTTATTTTTTAGTTATAGTTGGACACAATATCTTTAATTAATTTATTTTTATGTGGTGCTGAGGATTGAACCCAGGGCCTCTCCTGTGTTAGGCGAGCACTCCACCACTCCCCCTTTTTTGGATTCTTGATGAGACATTAGGACATGCAGCTGGAAACGCTAGTTACTATTATTGTTATTGTTTTTATTATTTAGTTTTCTATCCTCTGTACAGCCCATTTCAGCAACATGGAGGATTAGCATCTTTCCTAGTTAAAACAAGTTGCCCTTAGAATGTGAATGTAAAAGAAAATTCAAGGAAAGATTCTGCACCACTGTTGACAGTCATGGAGAACAAGAACATACTTTCAGGATGAATAATGTGATTCACCAGCAGCATGGACTCACTTCTATCCATAGCCCTGCTCATCCACAGCCTTTTGCTCTTCTCAATCATGGTAAATTTTAGGATGCTTTCTCACTAGTACCCCAGAAAAGACACATTTTAATTCCCTGCATGTAATTAATGGTGGTTGCCATTACTTCAAGGTGTGACTATTCTGTGTACTATCAGCTAGCAACAGAAGCAACACCAAGAGCACCATTATCTATTTCTTCTAAAGATCTGAGAGGACTGAACATAGGATTTCCTTTCATGTCAGCTGTGAGTCAGGTATGACAATTACCATTAGCCTCATTGAGAAGCTTAGGCAAAACAGAGATGAGTGGTTTCCCTTTTTTAGGCAGTAACAGACCAGGGGAGTCGTTGAGGATTCTTCCAACCAGACTACCAATTAGCTAATTGACTAGAGCTGAAAGAGACAGAACAGGCTCTGGCTGCTGCAGAATTCTGCTCCCTTCATGTCCATGCTAGCATTCTCTTCAGTTATTGGCACTTCCTCATTCAGACCAGGGAGCAAACTGGAAAAGACATTCACAAATACATCCTGTGTCATGATAGTCTAAAAGTACAGGATAGAAAAGTACCACATTTGAATATCTTACCTAAGCTGGACCGGGTGTTTGAACGTTCAATTATTGCTCTCTTGCTGGGATTATTTAGGACAGACCTCTTAGCAAGAGAAATGTCAGCTGTCACTCTCGTTATTGATATCCTATAATTAGGAACACAGAAGAGAACAAGCCAGTAAAAATGTTACAGGGCTCTCCAAGTGAATTATAACCACAGTACTTAATAACCATTTTACATACTATAGTAGAACCACAGTATAATAAATATTGGCCACAAGAATTTTAAACAGGCTTTGGCTAGTATTAAAATACAAGCAGAGCAAATAGAGGAAGGTTTTTTTGCTATTTAATTGAAAAATTACTCCAGTAAAAATGCTCTTCTCCATTATGGCCATCCTGGCCAAGTTCCCTTTACAATGCACACCACACCAGGAGGGAATCAAAACATATGCATACACCATGCTCTTTCTAGGAAGTAGCAATACAGTTTCCTCACAATTCACAGATGATCTGCTCTTGAACAAGACCTTCAGGAGCTACCAATACTCTTTTCCAGCATTTCAATGCCTCTGGCTAAAGGAAGAAACCCTCTTCATTTTGATCATCAAAGACAACCAATCGGTGATAGACTAAGTTGTATTCCTATGCTCAATACTTCATTCATGATTCATGGAACGTTTCTCCACAGGCTCAAAGGGAGGCTTCACTTGTAAGAATGTGAGAAATATGGTTTCTTTTCTATAGCTATAGGATTCTTTAGCATATTTGCATATGACTTTGAATGCACATGTTGGGCAGTCCTAAGAGAGTACAGTTGAGGGCAATGTGAATATTATGCCAGGGTTTTGATAAGTTAGAAAGAATCCTGCAATCATGGAAGAAAAGAATAAAGTAAAGACATTGCAAATGATGAATGGAGACAGGGGTCTATTTGAATATAATTTATCAAATGAGAACATCTGGAATCCACACTTTTAAAACTGTTTTAAGGATTGCTCAATTTCCAGCCATTATCTGCCTGTAGAATCCAAAGCTTGCCTTTCTAAGTCAGTTACTAACATCAGTGGGCCTTTCCCCATTCTCATCTTCACAGCTTCCCAGAAATAGATGAGAAAAGTAGCACCCTCTCCCTTTTATACTCAGTGAACATACCTATTCTTCTCCATAGTCAAAAAATTTTGAGGGTTGGAACAGAGAAGAGGCTAGAGTTATTAGCAATTATTCAATCACATGTCATCTCATACCTGTTTGGGAGATACTGGGTATTGTCAGAAGACTCTTTACCTGACTTGCATGATCTGAGCCTTAGAGAGAATTTAAAATAAACCTTTTTGACAAATGGTTGGAAATCACTTCTTTAAACCTACAGACTTTAAACTTCTGGTGTTATTTTAAAGCAAATCACCGCCTGTCTGTGTCATTGTATTTATGTACTGTAGGTGGTCAGGACATTTAAAATTATTTAGCTTTTTAGAATTTTTATGCCCTAATAAGTATTAGATGCATTCTCAAATGTCCTTTGCAGAAAGATCTTGGCAATCATTCTGAACACTAAAGAAAGGCCAAGTGGGTGAGGCTCCAATTTTACCACACAAGGCAAACACTTCTGCATTTCTATTTTCTACATTGGGCTTATATGTGAATTCATTGCAAAACATTGTTCAACTGCTAAAAGACATTGGAAAACACTGGTGTAATAACTTCTTCATTTTACCAAGAAGGAAACTGAGAAACGGAGAGTTTCACATGATTCCACATAGGCTGAGGAGGTCTAAATTAGGCTTCTGAGCACCAGGCCAGGGCTTAGTCATTTGACTTCAGAATTCTCTTTCATTTCAGCTTTCTTATCCAGCAACCCCAAATCTCTACATAAAGCAAACTATCAAGCACAGATGCACAACCTTGGCCTTGGTCTGAGAGATGGTCAGGATTTAAATCAGTTTAAAGTCAAGCGAACCCACATATGAGTTTCTATTACTCTGTAGCCCTCTAAAGCTTTGAGGCATGAACTCTCATAGGCAATTCCTTTTCTTTACAGAAAAGGGTTTTCATGTTTATTATTGTGATTCTGGGTTTCTTGTATGTTTATTTTAAGAATGGAGCTGCTGGATAAAAGTCATATCCAGAGCAATCCAGATATCTGATTAAAGACAAATGGGTTGGTTTAAAGACAGAATTCAACTTTCTAGAATAATGATTTTTGGTTTGTTGCAAGATTTTATTCTGCTTACGTGAAAATCAAATATTCTCATTCTACAAGCCAGATAGTAACCCTTGGTTTGGGGTTTTTTGTTTTGTTTTGTGGTACTGGGGATTTAACCCAGGGACATTTAACCAATGAGCCACCTTCCCAGCCCATTTTTTAATTATTATTTTAAATTTTGAGACAGGGTCTCTCTAAGCTGCTTAGGGTATTGCTAAATTGCTGAGGCTGGCTTTGAACTTTCGATCCTCCTGCCTCAGCCTTTCCAGCTTCCGGGACTGTAACCCTTGGTTCTTAACACTTGAAGTGTTTATCAACAGATGCATGGTCTAATTCTGAGTTATTAAAGCACTTTTACAAAGCCCTTTTCAAATACTATCGAAGTCCTAAAACACAAAGATATAAAACTGTTTCATATGTTTGAAACAGAGGGAAAGGTGTGGGCAATAAAGCATTCTTTCTTATTTTATTTGCTAATAAATTACAAGTTCATTTGCTAATATAAGTTACTTGTTAATAAAATTCAGATGCATAAAGTAGAGATCTGGAACATATAGACACTACCCTAGCAACTCTAATAAGACAAAATAAGTGTTTATCTTACAAGGATGCTCACTATTATCAAAATCAGACATCAAATCCAAATCTTCTTTTTTTAATAAGACTCCCAGCAAAGAACTATCAAATGTAAATACTTTTTAAAAAATTTATGACATCCTTTCTATTTATTTTCTTGCTATAGTCATACCCGGTGTCTTTTGGCCCTTCTATGCATCTCTGGAAAAACTTTGTTAGTAGTTACTGGCCAGTAGGTTAAAAAAAAAAACAATAGTAGGAGTAGGAGATTGGTTCCTCAGCAGACTGGATGTAGCAGCAAATTCCCTAGAAACTAGCAAAAATCATTCTCTAAATGCAGTAAATCTGAAACACAACCATTGCTTATTTTTACTTTAGAATTCACCTTAATTGCTATAACCCAATATATCATGGGCTATTCATATTAGTTTTCTGTGATAGTCTATGTAAAGATAGTTTTCAGTTATGACACATGCATTAAAAAATAATTTATAGTTCCATGATGGTAATGCAACAGCTGTAAAGCCCTTCAATATTTTACCCTTGCTATATCCTAGTATTTATAGGGAAAAGTGTTTCAAAGAACAAGGGAGTGTGCTGTCAATAGAAATGGATGAAAGGCACAGGAGGACCTGAATATTGCCCTGGATCTTTCTCTTCCTGGTTCTATGGCCACAGAAAGGTCATGACATCTTTTGAGTCTTAGTATCCTAATAAATAAAATGGTAATGGTAGATTTGTCAAAACTGTCTCATGGGTTTGTCATTAGGAGCAAACAAGATAATATATAAAAGTGCTTTCTTAATTATCTTAGTGTTCTATGTTGATAAGCACATATATAATGTAAGCAAGACAAATGATTATTAGATAGTTGAAGACTTGAAGGGGACAATATCTTTATATCCTGTCCTCAGAAGTTAGTAGAAACCATAGATTCAGCCATCCCAGAGTTGGTAAAATTCAAATACATTGCAAGGAAAGATAAATCAGGTCAGACAACGATGTAATAAAAATCTGTTAATTTACACATTCAAGTCTGGCCCAAAAGTGTTCAATTAGACCCAGTGTTTGTGGACTAATGAGTCCACATTTGAGTGAGAGGATATGACAGGAACCGAAAGTCACTTGTTCTTTTCCCCTTTGTTCACTGAAATTACAAATTGTGTTCATTCTTCCATGGCTTGGCTGCTTTGTGATAGCATCAATTGTTCCCATTTCCTTTTACAAGTAAATACTATCTATTTTGAGTCTCTCTAAATTGTATTCTCAGCTTCTTCTCTTTCAATTTCTTTCTCAACTACCTGCTTTGTTTTCCTTATATGTTGTCTGGATAATAGCTTCCTTTAGCTGAAGATTCTAACCTTGTCGATTTTGTGCTGTTTAGGATTTTAAGCCATGATTGTGTCAGTTACAATGCGTTGGATAATGCCTAAGAATTGATCTGATCCAGTTGTCAAAAAAGCCTAAAATAACAGACTTCAGAGGCTTTGACATGAATGGCATAGGTCAACAAACTGCAACTGGTTTGACTTCGTGCTATTTGGCCTAAAAATTGTAGATTCAATCAGCTGAGCAAACCTCATAGGAAAGGATCATTCCCAATGAATATGTGAAATGAAGAGAGAAGCCCATAGTGTAACTACTGTGTCCTCACCAGACTGAGTACCATTTTAGCAGATTGTTAGGGCCACTTAATTTATAGTATGGCCACAGGAAGTATTACTATATGTGGATATTCACCTATGCCTTTTATTTTTCTTACATGTACTACAGTTAGGCCTCACAATAGCAACCACAGCAGTAAAACTGTATAGTAACTAGGTCTCAATGATTCAAGGAGAAAATCTTTGCCAGCTGCTCTTCTGATGGGGGACTAATATCTAGAATATACAAAGAACATAAAAAACTTAACATCAGAAAAATGAATAACTCATCGAAAAATGGGCAAATGATCTAAACAAACATTTCTCAAAAGAAGAAATACAAATAGCCAACAAATATATGAAAAAATATGTAACATCCTTAGCAATCAGGGAAATGCAAACCAAAACTAGACTGAGATTTCATCTCATTCCAGTTATAATGGTAAATCATTAAGAATACAAATAATAATAATTACTGGCAAGGAGGTGGGGACAAAGCTTTATTTATACATTGTTGGTGAAACTGAAAATTAGTACAACCACTTTGGAAAGCAGTATGGAGATTCTTCAAAAAACTAGGAATGGAACTACCATATGGCCTAGCTATCCCATTTCTTTGAATTTATACAAAAGAACTAAAATCAGCATACTATAGTGACACAAGCATACCAATGTTTATAGCAGTGCAATTCACAATAGCTAAGTTATGGAACCAGCCCTA